TCACACACACACACACTCACACACACACACACCCACACACATACACACACTCACACACATACACACACTCACACACACACACACACACACACACACATATATATATATATATATATTTGTGTGTATTTTTATAATAATATATATTTAAATGGATTGATGTTTTATTTATCTATTTCATAGTTACATTGTACAATTTTATGTATTCTTGCATAAATGTATATATATATATATATATATATATATAGATGTATGTATGTATGTATGTGTCTGTGTTATTTGTGTATGTATGTATGTATGTATGTATGTATATATGAATGTGTGTGTATATATGTATGTAAGTATGTGTGTATGTATGTATGTCAGTAAGTAAGTAGGTATATATTTATATATATATATGTTTGTATATATATATATATATTCAGTTACATATATGTGTATATATATATTTATATATGTACATACGTAAGTATGTACGTATTCTTTGATATATACATGTATTTTCATACAGTATTGCTGATCGCACCGGTAAATGCGGCATAAGCATTATCGTTGGTGTTCTTATTCTATGCTACTTGACATTTTAATCGTATATTTATATCGATTTTTTTCTTCCCATATCCCGGCAGGTCCTGATATATGTATTCGATGTGGAGAGTCGTGAATTGGAAAAGGATATGCACTACTATCAGTCGTGCCTCGAAGCCATATTGCAAAATTCGCGTGACGCGAAGATATTCTGTCTCATACATAAAATGGATTTGGTGCAGGAAGGCCAAAGAGATGCAATTTTCGGGTATGTAGAATGTGTGTCGAATGTCTTTAGGTTGTTTTTTATTTTGTATCGGATGAAAATATTTGTTTGCGCCTCATGTATATCACATCGATTGTGGGCTGGAGCGATGGTAGTACTAGTGACAGTAAGGTGCCAAGTACTATGCATTATTCTTGGATCCAACCTTGTTGGCGAGTTACTAGCACACTTTTCGCGCTTCGCTTTTGAAACGGTATACAGTGCTAAACACCGTGCATCGTAATTTAAGAGGAAAGTATAGATCCAAATGCTTATAAAAGAAAGCGTCGGGGGACGATACTCTCCAGTGACAGCCTGCGTGATGCTCCTACAGCTAACGCATCTATTTCCGTCTCATTGCAGTGACCGAGAGCTGGAACTGAAGAGACGGTCTCTGCCCCTGGACATCACCTGTTTCCGTACGTCTATCTGGGACGAAACTCTATACAAGGTGAGCAAGAAGGGTAAATGTACCAAAGCGGAGTGGTTTTTGATAACAGAAGCATCCTACTTCATCGGGACGCATTGAGATCATGACCAATTGGTACATTCCATGCGACTTTTAAATAACGAATGAAAAAGCAATGATAGTATTTTTGGATTGAAATGAATATTTTGTTCCGAATAGTGGAAACTTAATTAATCCCTTTCCCATTCATCTGTAATTCATGCAGGCCTGGTCCTCGATTGTATACTCGCTGATTCCAAATGTTCGACTCTTGGAATTACACCTCAGCAAATTCGCCGATATTTTAGAAGCCGACGAGGTATGGCCTCTATTTTCGAATCTCTCAAACCGTTTACTTCGAATCGCCATGTCATTGAGATCAACTAGATTTGCCTTCAATTAGACGAACATTACAAGCAGTTGCAGGTCTACGGCTATCAACGCACAACCTTAGAACCCTGCACGTCACGCAGCGTGTCAGAAGAATGGGCGCCTCTGCGGTGTATGTGGTCCTGTCGCTGTGTTAAACACCTCTTGACGACCGTTTTCTATTTATAGGTCGTGCTCTTTGAGAGGGCCACTTTCCTGGTGATCTCGCACTCGACGAGAACGAACTACATGGACTTGCATCGGTTTGAGAAAATATCGAACATCATCAAGCAGTTCAAGCTCAGCTGCACGTGAGTACTGCTTCTCGTGCACGCGTCGTTCCTTGTTTTTGACCTTAGTTTATATCTGCGGGGACATTGACACGGCTGGCCTTAGGTTTAACCTTAGTTTATCTCTACATTGACAGGGTTGGCCTTGGGTTTAACCTTAGTTTATATCTACATTGACACGGTTGAAGTCCTTAGTTTTTACACTAGTTTATAACTGCGGGGACATTGACACGGTTGGCCTTAGGCTTTATCCTAGTTTATATCTGCGTGGACATTGACACGGTTGGCCTTAGGTTTAACCTTTTATATCTACATTGACACGGTTGGCTTTAGGTTTTACCCTAGTTTATGTCTGCGGGGGTATTGATAAGGCCCATGTGTGTACGCACCTACTTAACCACTGCTGTATCCCTACGCACAGGAAATCGCACTCGCAGTTCCAGAGCGTCGAAGTCAGAAACAGCTCGTTTGCCGCTTTCATCGATGTCTTCACCAGCAACACTTACGTTATGGTGATCATGTCCGACCCCACCATCCGTAAGTATCGTTGCGTCGTTCGCTATGCATGCGCTAAACACTGTGTGCATGTCCCTGCACCGTGTGCGTGCGCCTTCGTATGACTGTGTCGGTACGTACACTCTCGCAACAAGTTATCTACATGAACATTGCGATATGCTTGTTTACCGGCGATGTGTTTATCGCTGATTATACTCGTGACAATGTTCCAAGGTGTTGTCATGGTTCAGTTGCTTGCGTACCTTGCTCTCCCTGTCTGCCCAATTTCCATTACTAGTCCCGTCTTGTATCCCTATGCTCAAGGCAGATCACTGTTTTGTACTGCGCGTTGCCTGCGCGGGGTACTTCATATAGTCACACGCTATGCCTTCGTAGTTCGTCTATGTGCGTGTCACATGTGTGCTGCGGTTGCCCATGATCGTCGTATGCGATATGCTTCTACTATGGCCCGGTGTCTAGGGGTCGCTGACTATACTGCTGTAGCTATTAACAGGCTGTGTTGTGGTTCGTGTCGCTTGGTTGTACGCTCAGTTCATACACTAAACCAGTCGGTGCATCTACTATGTACAGTAATAGTGCTCTCATCTGCGTGTTCTAATCTGATATACTTCTCCGTCCACAGCCTCTGCCGCGACTTTAGTAAACATACACAACGCCCGAAAACACTTCGAACAACTTGATGCCGGTCGAGTTGCTAACGGAAGGTAGTTAGGGAGATACTATTTCTATTGCTTAGAACGAAGCCAAGTGACTGTTAGACGAGCAAGCCGGGAGTGGCGCTTAGCAAAGGGCGTCAAGCTTACTTCTCTCCGATAATTAGGAAATAAAGTGTGCATGTAGTATAGTATTCATTTTGACTTACAGTGACGTACGGAGATATTCGCGGGGGAATACTGGTTTGTACAAGACATAGCAAGCACGTCGTGTACAATATTAAAATATAGAGCAATAAAAATGATGTTATTCTTCAGATACATAACATCCTGTCGCCTAGGTTAGGCTATCACCAACATCTGACCGCTGCAGTCAAGACTATGGGCCGCATGGGGTGCTCGCCTCGCAAAAAAAATTTATGATACTCCACCCTACACATATGATTTCTTCCCTTGAGGATTGTTACTTAGATACTATAGAGCCTCTCCCTCTCACCGTCTCTTCCAATATCACACGGGCTTCTAATAGTCGGCAGCTATGCTACTGCTGACTTGAAAAAACGTTCAATCTCAGGGGAACACGGCAAACTGCAGGGGCGCCACCCCTCATCGTGGCCTTCAAGCGACAAAGCGTTTTAAACTCAATTGTCCGAAACCTGCCCTTTTTTCAAAAGCCGAGGTGCATTTTTGAACAAAAAATGTCCTGTATTTATTTACGACACTTTGACTTTGACACCCCTTTTCGAGTTGTTGATATATTTATATGTATAATAAAAGGGGGTTTTAAGTGTAGTAGGGGTTGACAGTATCACTACACAGCACACTCGACCATGTCTACAGCCAAGGATAAGTTTGCGCTCGCACAGATACTGGCGAGGCGAAAGCAGAGCGCCAGTACGACTCGTCGCTCAGTGCAGAAGCCGTCTGTGCTATTAGACTTGGGGCAAGTTTGGTGCAAAGTGGGATACATGGGCGAACCTTTGCCAAGGCACACAGTCCGGTCCCCGTATGTCGGCTTGAGTTATAAACTCCGATTCGGGCAGCTGACAGACACGGAGACGAAGACATTGAAGCAGACGCTCAAGACGTTCTTACGCACAGTCTGCTACGAGCTTCTACTAGTGGTTCCTAATGAGAGTACCGTAGTTGTGTGCGAGAATAACCTCCGCAGATATATAGACTCGGAACTGTTGCTGGATTTATTGCTGGTTGATTTTGGGTTTAAGACGGCTACCACCTTGCCCGTGTTGGGTTGTTGTATGCTGTCCCATGGACTCACCACTGGGCTTGTGATTGACTGTGGATATAGCTCGATCAGAGTGTTACCGTTTATATCTAGCTGCCCATACACCGGTGCGTGGCAGGAAGTGCTTGTGGGCACACAGGCGATAGGTAAGGGGGTCGAGGTACACGCTGGTACAAGTTATGGGAATGTTATTTTGTATATTCAGTAGCACACGCGAAGGGCTGGTAGATGGAAAGCTGCACGCACGCACATACAGATACGCCCATCTAGATGTGTGTGCATGCCCGCTGTGTTCACGCTATAGTCGCATGCTATTGACTGTGTGTATTTCCAAGGCATGGTGTCGGCTCGTATGCATCTGCTGTATGTATATATAAATATTTACATTACTATGAATATACCTGTAATATAAATGCTAGGTTTAACTCAATAGACGTTGCTAGGTTTGAATTACACATTTTGCACTTGTACACGTATGCGTGATTAAACACTTGTGCTTTGTTCGAAAATTCTATCTATACCTGCATATAATAAATATTTGAGGATCAAAGCCCAAAAAGACACAGACACAAAACACACAAACTCACATACATACATACATACACGCACACAGACACGCATACACATACATATACATACACAGATATATATATATATATACATATATATATATATATATATTTATACATAAGTTGAAAATAAATATTTATCTATAGGGTATACACACATGCACACACACACACTCACACACGCACACACACTCACACACGCATGCACACACACACATACACACACACGCACACACACACACACACAC